AAGTCCCACACTTCCACAGTGTGAAGCAGTGTCTCTTCTGTTTTGTGCTGAAACTGCCATCTCCTAGTTCTGTTTGACGCCTCTTAGGCTTTTGCGTTGGAGCAAACAAAGAGAAGTCACCCTCACTTTGCCACCCATAGTTTTATAGATGGCTATCATCTGGATTAAGGGTCCTAATCTATGTAGTCTGCCATTTGTGGTCATGTTCCATCTCCAAGTGTCCATAAATCTGATCATCCCTGTCGCTCCTCTTTGCACCCTTGTCAGTTTTACTGTATTCTGTCTAAGGCAAGGAGACCAGAACTGCACACAGTATTAAAAGGCACCACTATTTCATGTAACCACAAAATGATGACTTCTGTTTGCTCTCTACTTCCTCATAGTTAATTTTTTTTCTTCAGTGCTTCTAACCAATGTGTTTTTATGGGTCTTAAAGTACAGATAACCTTAAAGTCTCATTCTTAATTGGTAGTAGTCAACCCTAGAACAGTAATTATAATGACAGTTCAAGAAAATGTTTTCCTCATATGCACCATTTTACTTTTATCTGTGTTGAATTTCCTCAGCTGTTTTATCTCACTTCCACTCAATTTTGAGCAATCCATCTGCAGTTCTTGGTCCTGGTAAATTAGTATCTTCCTTTAATTTACTTGCCTTTAATTTAATCTGATAATGGAGACTTCATTGATTACTTCAGCTGAGAATCTGTTCAATACAGTGTGAAAAGACCTGCTTTGGTGTCTTGACAGCTATGCTATAATATTGATACTTTACCTTATTATGCCTGATCTTCTCTTGTGGTTTATTACTAGCTGGATTGCCTGTTGGTGCTGACAGGCTTTTCACCCGTGCTCTTGTTTTAGGATGCCATTCCGTTACTTTGGATAATTGCCAGCTGACCTAATAAATCCCACCTAAGGCAAGACCACCCTCATGCATACATGGAGAAGCTGCAATGAAAAAAAACGGGCTTAATATTTTCCTATATCTTTCTCATATTTGGATGAGGATGCTGGAACAGGCATGTTCATGATGAAGATTGGTGGGCAGTCTCTTGGGATGTGGCTCTGCAGAGCCCCATGGTAGGTGCATGTGCTGCACTCGAGGGAATTAGCTCACAGGAACATGTAGGCAAGTGAACTGGAGCCAATGCTGATTACAGCCAGTTGGTTGTGGCATACTATGCCTTTCTGCAAGCACAGCCTGTCAGGGATTTTGTGCCAGCGCTAGGTAGCTATTCGTCACTAAAGGTATTGAATAATGAAAATTAAAATGGCCTGAGCACTACTTGTCTGCTAGTCTTTCAGGAGGAGAGAGGTACACATGCAGACGCAATGCTACTTGAACCCATCTAAATAAAAGACAGTTAGTTGGCACCGTACATCCATGACTGACTTTCTGTAATTTACTCCCTACTGGCCAAATCCAATCAATTTGCCCAATGTGCTATGAAAAGCCAGGGAACAGAGTAGAAGACAGGATTTAATATGCTTTTGGCAGTCTGTGTTGCTAAGGAATCATGCTGTTGCCTTCTCCATTAACTGGCGTTTTTCTAAGAGGTGGTAGCTAGGGTTAGATTAAAACAACAAAAATAACAGTTTTTTGTTAAGGGGTGGGATAAAAAGCACACACACAAAGGAGCACAGACAGGATGGCAGGTGGGCAAACCCAAATAAGATCCGGCCCCAGCTACTCCCAGGCCCATCGCAGGAGCCATCAGCCCATCAAAGGCCCATCACCACAAACCCAGAGGAGCACAATGGCAGGCAGGAACCCAGGTTAAGTTATAGGGATGCCCTGGCTGGACCCCTCCCAGGGCTGTCGCAGGAGTGCCTCAGCCCCTGTCCAGGTGTGAAACCCATCAACATGAGGCAGTGGGAGGGCTCTCACAACCACCTTTTGGATTATGGGAGGTTACTGCCCAGGGGTGTTGGACACATTATGGGATGCCAGGGAGGGGGGGAAGCATTTTAGGATTGCACAAGATTTATGGGATGTTTAGGAGAGGAACCAAAAGTGGTGAAAAGAATGAGTGTAGGGGATTTGGGGGGGAACAGATGTAGGAAAATAGAGGGATAAAGGGATAAAAAGGGCTGGTCAAGTGTAAACAGGTATGCTTGTTTTGCCATGCCCTGTGCCCTGCCCTATCACCACAGTCTGACCTGTCTTAATAAATGTCATTTCTAACTCTTTTCTGGGTGAGGAAGAGGCAAGACCATGGGAGGAGCTAGCTACCCGGGGGACCAGGGGAGTCCCAGACGGCTGCTGGAGAGACTGTGGGGTCTGCAGGTCACATGAGACCCATTTGTGTGTGTGGAGGGGTGGGTGCATAGGTGTCTCCAGGGGAAGGCACCTGGAAAGACCAAGGATCCAGGACCACCTACTGGGTGGACTGTGTGTCCAAAGCCAGCTACTGCAGAGACTACAATGTGTATGTGTGTGTGTGCACGTGTGTGTCTGAGTGAGGTTTCTGTATTAGCGACAGGAGTGAGGTTGCAGCCTCAGGGGCTCATATGGCCAGGTGCCAGCAGCTGGGGAGACTGGGATCCGGGGGCCAGATACTGGACAGAGTGAGTGTCTGAGCCCAGCTGCTGAAGGGATCCACATTATATACATGTCTGTATTTCCCACTAATGGACCTTCATCCCGATCAGCCAGAGAGGGTGCGGCCATTAGTGCTGTCTGTGTTTGTGTGAGTGCTGCACATATATGTTGTGTATGTGCATTTGTGTGTTGTACCTGCTGGGAATAGGTGCTCAGCCTTATTATTGCTTGGACCTGGGGGCATAGAGCTGCAGCAGCCTCACTTCTGGATACTGGATTCGCCCCACGCCCCACACCCCTCAAAAGCCACACAAAACGTGTCTCAAAAAACTGATAGCAACATGTCTTACAATAGCTGATGCATTACCCTGAGGCTGGGAGATTAAATATATGTCAACACATTAGAGTGATTAGTGATGCAGAGGCACCTGAGCTAGCTAGCACTGCCCATGCCAGAACATGCACATGACAAAACACAGCATCATATAGTAATGCTGTCATAGGTGTGAAAATGTTATTACCCTGCACTACAAGAGTCCTTGTGGCTCTACTGCTTCCTAAGACCATCTTAGCTCAGACTCTCCTTCCTCTGACATCTGCATACCACACTTACTGCACAGTCCAAACAAGGGCTGAGTGTATGCAATATCAATTCCGTTTCAACCAGCCTGGTGCTCAGTCATGGCCTGAACTGTGTCCAAGCACCAGGCTGAGTTGGAAGGAACAGTGTTATCACATAAGGTGAAAAAAAGGAGCTAACATCTTAGGCTGATTATGACATCACCTGGCTGATCTAAAAGGTTACTCTGGCAAAAGAATGTATAGAGAGAAGCTAAAATTTAACCAGAGCAAGACACATGAATACAAGCTCCATTTTAAATTGTCTCATTAACACCCAGGCCGGGGCCCTGAGTGCACCAATAGGCTTTAATTGCCCTGACCAGCCTCACCTGGGATCTCCACCCCATACCCTCTGCCCATGGGTCTGGAAGCTATACTTAAGCCCTGGCTTGGGCACCTAGTTCTTGTTTGAGAGAGGCTATAGGTGTATCTATTGGCAGCCCTGAGTAGATTTCCTGGGACATCTGTTTACAGTTCTGTCTCCATTCCTGCTTCCTGCTACTCCTGACTGGACTCCTGGAACAGAGTGCAGGCAGCCTGTGCTGCATGGACAATACCTATGCAAAAATCTCTGATGTTATCATGCCCTTAATTGTGTTCATGTTACAGGTGAATCCATGCTACCTGTTACCACTATGCCCTGATGCAACCAAGAAATGGAATTGCTGCCAGGACTGGTGAGAGCACAAACCAGGTGATGTATTGTGATGCTAGCAGTGATGGGGCTGAGTTCTTCCAAACCACCCTGCCTGCCTGTTACAACAAAGCTTGCTGCCTCACATACACGCATTCACGTACCACTTCTCTTCATATCATCACTTCTTAAAGAACCTCAAGCAGGGAAACTGCATCATCAAGACTGTGCCTGATGCTGCTGCTGATCATGGGTTTCTAGTGCTGCGAGAATTCCAACAGGCTCTGCAGAAGGGACTAGCACGCTTGTGTCCTCTCTTAGTTATACTCCTCTCTGTCAGAAATGGCTTAACCTAAGCGAAACAAGGTATGAATGGGAAGTAGAAGTCTACTACATCTATTTTTTTAAAAACCCAGTGGCTGGGTATTTCTATTCTTCTTGGCATTCTGCCACTTACTGAGCAGTCGTGAACAAACCATTTGACTTTTGTATCTACTTAGGTTAATAGAAATTAGCTGTTTAAAAAAGACTTACAAAATGTAATTAATGAGTAGCCTTGATTTTTTTTTTCCCCTCAATAAGTCAATCAAAATTATGTTATCTATTCTCCAGCTTTTGTGTTAAAGTCAGCCTGGTCAGCTGCTGGAGAATTTTTACTTCAGAGCATCTCCTAAGTCCTGCCCTCTTCTTGACTCCTGACAAAAACATATGTGATCCAAGAGGTGCAAAGATAGAAGTCACTATCTAGCACTGAGAACAGCCCAAGGGTTTCTACTGTTATTTGCAAAGTAAAGTATGTCACTATGCTCATGTAAAAAATACATCAATTAAAAAAAAAAATATTATCTTAACGGTGGCAAAAATATACAAGATTGCTTATAAACAAGAACATACTGAAGTATAGAATAGCACATGCAAACTAGTGTTTATAGATTCACAGGCCCTTTTTCCTTAAATAAATAGTAAAAGATAAGTCAAAAGCTGTGGGAAAGCCTTACTAAGTTCCCCTTTGCACTTGAGATTGCATGTTGTTAAAAATGTGTGGTTTGGGGTTCTCCTCTTTAGTAGTATAATAAAGCCTATCATTAAGTGTTATGTTTGTTTCTTTTCATAATCATCGGGGGAGGGGAGTAACATATAAGCCTTTTTATCTCTATTCCCTTTAACTTATAAATTCATTTTTGTTTTGTGGATAGGCAAAATGAATAACAAGTTTGATTTTAAAAGCATCAGTTCAAGTCAGGCATCCATTATGGGTGACCTTCAGAGACTTCTTAACCAAGGAGAATATGCTCCTTTTACCTCTGCTCCCATCTTCGAGAGCAAGTTTGTCCAGGTAAAAAGTCATTCAAATGAAATCATCTGGCATGCTCAAGATAAAACTGCTTGCAATGATTACCTTTTTTTTTTTCCTCAGCTCAAGAGGTATTTCTCATTCATCTGTTCTCACTATTCTTATTCTCTGTTTACTGTGTATACATATGGATATGTTTCCTTTCTCCTATAGACTCATTATGCTCCCGCTTTAAAGGCAGTAGTCCAGAAACCCAGCAACAGCAATGCTGCAGATTAGATAAAGAGGACAATGAGTGATGTTTTCACCCTTCCTTGTCAGCCCCTACTCCTTCCTGTAGCAACGGCTAGGACTGCTCTAGCAAATTTCTGGTTCTGTGCTATCTCATTAAGGTTTTTTAGCTATCAATGTCAGTTCAACCTAGCCTAAATGGCAGCCAGCCTTTCCCAGGCAATCTCCCCCCACTGGCGGCTTCTAGCATCCTTGCAGGCAATATCACTACCCTGCCTGTCACTTACCCTAAGCACTGGCCCAAGAACCCTGCAAGACTCTGGCAACAGTCTGTGCTCCTACAATACTGCATTCACAGTGTGTCTAAAATACCTGAATTCTATTTACATGGTGTATCCCAACAGTGTTTTTCATAGGGATTCATTACCTCACTTTGTGATAATTGCAACATCCTTTGGTCTTGCCTTAATTCAATCTTGCATTGTTGATACACATGCGGAATGTTAATTAGCTATGAGAATCCATTTTCAAGGTAGTGTATGATTTATCCCTGCTTTATTTTTCAGACCTCATTTACTATCAAGGAGGCAGTTCCCCTAACCAATCAACCCAAGAAAACAGCTCCATCACTGACTCATTTACATTAAAATGAAACAACAACAACAAAAAGCCTTTGATCTCTTTTTACATACTGTCTCTCACAATTGGGAGGAGATTCTACTAGATATTCACAAATTTAATGCATTACCCTCCCTCAAATTCCTTCTTAGGACACACTTTTTCTCTGATGCCTATCAAAACCAAACCCTGACAATGGTACACAACATGTGATTTGATCATACTTATCAAGTTATTCTTATCTCCTTGTATTTTCTCACTTTTTCTGTAATTTCCTGTCTTACACATAAATTACCTGGGATATTTTTCCATTTTCTGTTTGTACAGCACCTAACAGGATCCTGGTTCATAACCAGATCTCATTAATATCACAGTAATGCTGACAAAGACAGTGAATCATCAGAACAGAGTGCTTCTTCCATCATGTTTACACTAAGAGAAATTCAAGATAATGGTACTCAAGAGGTTTCTGACTGTAGCAATCAGATACCCAATGATTTGGACTACACACAAGAGTGGTTTCCCGTCCTCCTTTATCCTTATTCAATTTCTTTCCTTTCTTTTCATTCATACACATTCCTGTCTCATTTTTCCACATTTCCCTCTCTCCTCACCAACCCAGTACATAAGCTCTAGGGCCCCCAAGCCAAAACACCATGAAATGTATTGGTGACATATTCTCTGAGAGATCATATGGCAAATGTCAGTGTTGATGGGGCTTTATTTTTTTTTTTTTGTTCAGGTTAATCGAAGAGGGGAACCGATTTCTGTCCATAACCGAGCCAGCTGCGTGACCATCGGCATCTGTGCTGCCGATCCCACTTCACCAATGCCCAATGCGATGCTGGTAGCACGCGAGGTGCCTGTGTCCCCACAGGAAAGTACGACAAACTTCTGGAAACTCTCAGAGCAGCCATCCCACATGGAACAGCTAGCACTTACCAGGTGAGTTAGCACTAAGAAGGGTTAAATATTTCTTTGAAGACTAAATAAGGAATATGAATGTATTTCCCATTTCCATGCAGTGTTTTCCTTATTTTTAAGGACCAGTTCATTAACAGACCTCGTATTTGCACCAGGTCTTTGTCCCAGCACTAACATCACAAAGTTAAGAGAAACACTTAATTTTAAGTACACACCTTTAGGCCCCACTCCAGTCATCATTTCAGGCCAATGCAACCCACGTGCATATAGATAGATGATGACTACAAATACTTAATAAACCTTTCTCTAAATTTATCAGAAGCTGAAAGCTGGTAGGAAGATTAGGGGTAGAGGATTCTCAGGGAATAAGGCAGTGGAATAAAGGCGTTGTAGAGAAGCCAACTTCCTTTGCCTCCCCATTCTGTGCACTGCTGCCCAGCATTTCTTCCACAACCATCCAGAGGCACTCAGAAGAAGAGTGTCCAAATCCATTTGGCAGCTTTTTCCTATTCCAGTTTCTCACTTTTAGTTTTACTCTATCTGTAGGTCTGACAGACACAATATATTCTTTGAGAGGAATCTCCACTTGTGCTTAATGATGAGTTTCCCCTTTTTTTTTATAGGTTCTTCCCCTTGAAGTTTGTGGAACTCTCTGTCCACAGCACAGATAAGCATCACCTCATGTTAAAATTAGTAAATGGCCGTTCCTATTATCTAGAGCTCTGTGCCCCACCAGACCAGCAACAACACCTATTCCACCTGTGGCTGCAGCTCATCTCTCTCCTGAAACCCCCAGAAAATACCAGCAATACTGAAGTCAGTGTAAAATGCAAGGATTTTGGCACATGTCACAAGACAGCTCCCAGCCCAAACAACCCATCAGAAAAAGTGAGTCTTTAGCAAATAGATATCAAAAGTTCAAGCTGACCAATCAGAAAGTATCACTTGTGCCAATATTCTCTACTATCTCTCAAGTCAAAGTTTTTGTGTGCTTTGAAGGAGCTACAGTTCTATTTATCAAAATAATTGGCTTGTAAACTCCCTACAGAATTTCAGGGCAATGGGAGTGAGGATGCTAGATGCACCATACCCATGATAAATTTTTGTGAATCGATAAATAGCATACTACTTACTGTTCGGTGTTTAGTTTTCCCTCATAGTTGGGGTATGTTCTTAAATGGCTCTTTTCGACTGAATTCCACAACCCACTGAGAAAAAAAGCAGAGAAGAAGGAAAGATATGGCACAGCTGAGACCCATGCAGGGACTGACAACTAATAAGCAAAGAGGGAAAAGGCATTTGATGCATTCAAAGGACAGAAAGAGAAAGTTCTTCAGGGAAATGCTAGAGCAGGCAGCCAGACAGGTAGAAGCCAACTGCTTTCTGTAGCAAAGAAAGAAACAAGGAGAACAGTAAGGGTCAGCAAAAATGGATCGGGGGGTCCTAAAGAGAATATCACATACAGAAATCTCACTAAAGCACACAAAGGACCTGTTACCTTAGAGTCACACTTAGGAAGGAACTTGGATGGTTAATGATGCTGCTCAACATTATCTGAAGCTATTTCCCCTAAGTTCCAAGCAGAAAACATTTTGTCAGCACAGGCATTGATGGGTCTTTAGTTCCCACTCAAGCCAACCCAGCCCTCAGCCAAGCAGAGGCACATCCACAGGGAGATGAAAACACAGTCACATGGCCAGTGCTTGGTGCTGCCATGTACATCTCTTCTCTGCACTCAGGAGCTCCCACCTTCTCGCTGGCCATGGGTAGCAAAGAGAAGGAACATCTCTGTGTACATACAGCGGAAAAAATACAAGGGAGCTAGAAAAATATAATTTTGGAGAGTGGAGAGAACTGTGAGAAATGATCCTTTCAAGAAAAATCAGTGATGAGGTAAAGGGATGACTGCAGAAAATCTAGGGGGAAAACTAGCATATTCAGATAGATTTGCAGAAAGTGTAGGACTTGGATTTGGCTGAAAAAATCTGCACAGCCACATCCACAACCATACTGGTTAAGTCAAGAATGCATAGATTGTGAGAAAGTAAATATAGGATTTATAAAATTTCTTAATTGATATTTTCCTGCTTCAACTATCCCTACATAGCCACCTTTCTTCTGGGTTTTCTGCTTTCTCTCTTACCTGACTAGATCCTTGTACCAACAACTTCTGGACATAAGCTGGCCTGACATGAATGTCAGCTCCTGCATATACAGCAGATGTTACTAGTGATTCAATATACTAACATAATGATCCAGACCTAGAATCTCTATTTTTCTTTGCAGAAGAGACACCTTATTTTTCCAGTCACATGTTCATCAGTGTTTCAATACCTTGAGGTGTTGGCTGTCACTCACTATTGACTTTTCTACTGACAGTTTTTAAGTTTGGATTTTCCTTTGCATTATTACATCCCCCCTGCTCTCTTCCTGTTTAGATAGGAAGCTGTCTGCACGTGAGAGACTTACCTCATGAAACTCCCCGCCTCAGCTACTTGAAAGCAGGAGGCTTAGAAAGATTTTAGTAGGGACCGATTTCAAAATCTGGACAGGAGGGAGAGCAAAGATCTTATCTCAGCTTCTGAATATGAGCAAAAGAGGAGAATAACCTGGAGATAAAGGAGTTCTGAACATGAACTAGAAGCAGAGAACTTGGAGGTGAAGCCACAAACAGCTCTCAGAGGTTAAGCTTTGTGACTATCCCTTGATAGACTGCTTAGTCACTTCTAGCCAAAGCTGTAGGCCAATAATCACCAACAAACCAATAATGTAGGAGAAACAGTAGTCTCTCTTCTAGATAAATATATCACATTTCCTATGGATGGTCTGTCGGACACCACTTTATAGCAGAATATTCAATATATAGGGGACTACTATATAGGAAATTATCTTATCATAATGTTCCAGCTGTGCTGATGAGCTCTGTGCAGAGCTCTGTTTTATGTCATTTGCTACTGCATCTGTTAATCTTTCCTTTTTCCTTCAAGAAGGATGACCCACAAGATGTGCCTAACCCCAAAACAGAGGAGGAAGAAGTTACTAAACAAACATCCTCCAACCAAGTTCCCCTCTCAGGCACCGTGGGTCCCACAGAAGAGAGTGGAAGGAAAGGGGAAGTCTTCCACAGCTCCCTGAAACCAACCAGGCAAGAAACCACCATGCAGTCAAAGAATATAAATCCTCTGGATACAAAGAAGAGCAAAAGCACAGAAAAGAGGAAAACTAGTAGGTATGTTTGGAAAACAAATTTAATATGTTTAGTTTCTGCTGCTGACTGTGAGAAGTAAAATGTATCATATTTTTGTCTTCAGAAAATATATTATTGCAACACCTTTTCAGGGTTACTGTGATTTTCCTAATGCTTTAATGGATTAGGAAGCTGAAGATTACAAGGTGGTGTTTCCAAGCATCCAGACTTTGGTTTCTCAGATATTTAGGGGCTTTTGAAAGACCATTTCCCCTGCCCACCCTCCCACCACCTGGGTTCACAAAGATGGGCAATCAAGCAAAAGTGCATGAATGTTCAGTGACTTAAGTGGTCTCTATGAATGCTGAAGGCTCTGCATACAGGCAGCTTTGACTTAGAAGCCCAGCATATGAGGGAATCATATAGCATGGGGCAGACTCAGTGTTTCCTTTCTGTACAAAATCAGCAACATGTCCTGGCACCAGAAATCTGTCTTTTCTATATCTTCTGCCATATCTACCCTGGCTTGTGCAGAAAAGGAGCAGATTTTTTGTCAGTGGTGTTACACAAACTAGGCAAGCAAAAGTTAGATGGCAGAAGGAAATGAAAACTCTGTCACTTACATAAACATCTGCATGACAACAAAGAGCAAGACTTCAACATAATCACTTCTCAAGCTACACCTAGGCATTAAGTCATGTGCTCAGATGTGTGCTATGTTCATATGTGTCATATATAAGGGCAGTCTATAATGCGCAAATATCTCTGTGTTAGTGTGCCTGTGCTTCAAAACAAGGCTTATTACATCATTTAGCAATACATATTTCTACTGCAGACAGAAAGAGATTAAAATAGCACCTATTTAATACTGATTCTGGTATAAAATGATATTACTAGGGTAAGACTTCTTCCTGAGTTTGTTGGCAATGGCATAATGTTTTTTTCCTGAACTACTTTTTTTTTAGGATAAATACAACAAAGCAAAAAAGTGGAAAAAAATTACAGACTTCAGGTATGGCAGTTTTTCTGGTATTTACTCACTTCCCCATTGCTATTCCTAATTCAATGATAGATGAGAGAAGCTGAAACTTCATGAGCTGGGTGTTCTTTAGAACAAATATTCCTATGTCCACATTGCCAATAGATCAGCACATGTATGGCCAAATTATTAGAAGGTAGCCTGTGCTCATTCCCTGCTGTGATTGCATCTCACCTTCCAGGGTTCAGTGTCAGGTTTCTTCTAGAAAGGCCTTGACGTTTGACTTGTTTGGCTGATGGCAGCAATTGCAACTTCACTGCAAAATCAGATAAAATACAGGATGGTGGCAAGGGCAAGAAAGCTGCAGGCCTAGGACAGTTCAATGAGATAATGTTGGCCCATACCTCCTCTGCCAGTGTGCTGTAAGGTTTCCCAAAACCCCATGTCTGAGCATGAATTTACCTCCAGATACTGAGTCTGCAGTGTCCTCAAGCATGAGGTCAGGACTTATGTTACAAGCAGAATGTGGACATGTTTTGGAGCATTCTCCACAATGTCATGTTGGGATTAGCATTAGCATCCTTTCTGACATCCTGCATTTCTGCACGAATCTCTACAGAATATCCATCTGGAACAAGTAGGCACCTAAAGCCAGTCCTTATTAACGTTCACAGTTCCCCTTGTTTATACTTCTCCACTTGTTGTCAGTGATTAAACACTGTTATCTATGCCTGCCAAGGAATGACAAAAAACGGAGCCACTTAGCTTATTGATGCCTCTTACTTTATGTCTAAAATCATGATCATTCTGCATGTGAGTGAATCAGTCTCTTGAACAAAAGCTTTTATGGTCTTCCTCCCCATACTTCTCCATTTTGCTAAGTCACAAAAGTTTGAATGAGCTCTTGTTCAATCAACCTCAATTTTTGTGAACATGATGCTACTTACTGTGTGCTCCTCTTTGTAGCTGGCTGGTGGGCTGCATGCAGTACATTGTCCTACTTGCCAGGTGGTGATCTTAAAGTGATCTACATGACCTGAAAGGAAAAGTATTTTGTTTTATGATGTGCTCTCATTTAACTGCTTTTCTCAGTTTTTCTGTGTGCACACATCTCTTTGTCCACTAATACACATCTATCTGTCTGAAAATCTTGTTGCATCTGTCTCTACAAACACTTTGGTACATGAATCATTTTTAATATCTCATTGTTATGTTCTTTTTCACTCTCTTCCTCTCTTAACAGCCATTCATTTAGAAATGGTGGTACTGACAGAGAGCAATGGGCTATGAGGAGATATAAATTAGTACATGCTCAAGAACTTATTTCAGCGCTCCACATTAAATGGAGACAAATAATGACATATTATTTAATCAGCAATAACAAATTTGTGCAAAGCACTAGATTAATTATACTCTCATTTCAAATTCATCTCCTGCATTTTAAAATAGTCTGTGACATACATATAGTGCCAAACACCTAAATTATATTCTACTGGGCCTTAGTGCTACAGTATTGTATTTCTTGTGATTTTATCGTGAAAACTGTAATAATAGAGAAGTAGTGAAGAAATCGGAACAGAAATGCTTCATATATTTTCCTGTTACACACATACAACCATAATATCATTCAGAAAAAAAAAAAACCCAAAAACAAACCTGTCTTGACAAATCCAGCATTTGGATTTGTTGCATTGAGGGAAGGGCACCTGCCTATTTATTTCAGTTTTGTCCCCATTTTCTATTCTATATAAACCATTATTTTTAGATATTAATTTTGTAGCAATATCTTTGCAGTGTATGTTCTATAGGGAAATAAAAATAGCTGATTGTCTTTCCTGTTGTTTTCTTTGTTACCATCTTTCCTTCTCTGTCTATTGCTTTTTCCCAGTCACTCACAGCTTCTCAGCTTTCCCTCTGATCAGCTTTCCTGTTCATTTTCTCTAGCTCTAGATCATTCTTTCTCTCACTTTCCATGTTCTTTCAACTCTACTCTGTGCCTCTTCCTCTTTTTAAATGGTACCTTCCTCCAAAGATGTATTCCTCCTCCTGTGCAATTGTGTCTCCCCTTTTTTCCTTCATTTTCTGATCATGCTTCTCCCAGTCTGCATTCTACTATCAATTCCCAAATTTGCCATATTGAGGCAAAGGCAGCACGTGTTCTTCCTGGCCTTACTTAGACCTGCAGATTCCGTTGTCTTCTCAGCCTGCTGATCAGCTTTCAGTAGAGAATGGAAGTGATCTTCACATACCCCCAGGCAGCTGAGAAGTATGACAATATTATGTCAACTGATACCAGCTATGCACCGGCTTTTCACGCCTCTCAGGTGTTCTGCAAGACTAAAGATGATTTCTGCTGCGAGGTGAGTAGGTAAGACAGCTTGTAGGAGTGACTGAAGGAGAATAGCATGGGAGAGACTAGGAAAAGGCCGGTTTGGAATACAGAGCACAAATTCTAGTAAACTCCCCACAAAGGCAAATCAATTCTCTCTGGTCATCTTTCTTCCTCTGTGGTTCTCAGTGTATGTTTATCTTCTCTGTCCTTTTCTCTCTTTTGATTCCTTGTGCTTCTTTTTCTCTTTCATTCTCTACTTTAGTGTGCTGTTTTCCTCATGGTCATCATGTTTCTTTTCAGGAAATCAAAAGAGTGGCAGTAAGTCAAGTAGGCTGCTTCAGGTAATATCCCAGGTGATCAGTCAGTAAGAAGTAATAAAAGAAAATAAAGCAAAGCATCCCAGACATCAGATGCAGTTGGAACAAGGCAAAGATGTACACACAGAAGAAAAAATTCCCCTGCAGACTTCAATTCCATTCATAACTTCTTACTATTGTACAATTAACTATTACTGGAATACAAACTCTATATTCCTCTGTATCAGTTCACAACTCACAACAACAAATAAATTTTGATCCTTGGCAGTGGAATCCACATTTTTAAGTGACCGAGACCATTTTTTCAGGGAGAAGACTTGTAGAGTTTGCAGCAGAAGGCAAAGAAATAGACACTTGAATTAACTTTATAATACCTGACTATGGTTCACATTTTTATATAGAGTCAGGAAAGCTTCTCATGCAAGAAATTTCAGAACATTGCAGAGGGACAAGTGATAGAGAGCAATATCATGTAGTGGGCACAAAGTCATACTAACACAGGTTTTATTTCTGCCAGTGAACTTCTAGATGAATGTGGGCAAATCACTTTTCCGTTTTTCTTCCTCAGCTTCTTCATTTGTAGAATGAGGATAGCCAGACCTCTTTTGAAAATCACCATGTAATGTATTAATGAGAATCATTATATAAGGATTTGGTATTGTTGTTACTGTTGTTGTTATTATTTAGACACTATAAATATTACTATCCTATTGGAATACTGGACAGCATTTTTGACAGAACATACTTGCTGCACTACAAAGCATTTTGCATTAAGCAAACTAAATATCTGCTGCTGCTCTTGCTACCTGTCGCTGGGACATTTCTGTGTAGTTTACAGCATGTGCAATATTTTACTGAAGTTTTGAAGCATAAGTTCTGCACAAGCATAGCTAAGCATCGGAGATGGAAGACTCAGTATGCTTTCTGCCAAATGAGCACAGAGGACATACATAATTAACAACTTCCAAGACAAATGCCAATCTAATGTTCCTTGAGAATATAAATTAACTGAATACTCTTTGAGGGCAGCCCATATGTAATCAGATTCCAGCCTAGGATGCCATAAGAAACAAGTGGTGGCAAATTCAAATTCTAAATATCACCCAAAATGTGAACAAGAGTGAAATACCATTCAATATAACTAGAAATTCCAACATTATTTTCCATGGTGAAAAAAAATTTCTAGATTCTGTTTATCAAAAGAGCAAAGTAGCAATTACTGACAAGAAAGAAATTTTTAGGTGGTCCCTGAGAAAATGGTTGTACAGCATATTTTCTGCTCAAGCAACAGTCAGTACTTGAATGATACATGATTTATGAAGTGCTGCTGTCCACTACAAGAACAAACATAAAATACTGCAAAAATAAGGATCAGTAACAGTATCTTCACTATCATCTACAGAAAGACTG